GAGATGCTCGATCATAACCATCTCTTTGTTCTCCATTTCCTCTGTCATAAAATAAGCACACTAACATTTTATTTACTGCTCTAATTAAGAGTAGCCAAGATTACACAGGAGTTTTACAGGCAGCAAAAAACAATCCTTAAAATAATCACACAACAAAGGATTGTAACGTCCCACATGGGATTCTCCAGTCGTTAATGATTTGGTTACTCCTTTTTCACCAAGCTCATATTAATGGTATTTCATCTCTTTGTCAAGGGCCTCAGTCCCAAAGAGACAGAGAGCTATAGACAAGCAGTTATACATGACGCCACATTATGTAGGTATAAACAAGTAGAGAGTCTGAAAGGTGGAGGAATTCATCTCACCTGGAGGACTCAAAGAACAGAGTCAGAGGGACTTGTCTCAGTTTGTTTATTTGTTCACTGTTGTCAGTATGTAGTCTTAGAGAGTGCCAGTGGGGGAGAATAAAGATGCAGGGGAGAAGAGGGAGGAAGAGATGAGCCACGTCCGGTCTCCCCCACCACCCGACCACCTCTGGCTCAGAGTCAGCAAGGATTAGGCAAAGGGAAGGTTTTGAAAAGGAAAGTTTGAGAATTCTTTGAGAGGAAAGTTAAGAGAATTCTTTCTTAACTGTGAATGTTCTTAGCTGTAGTATCAGGGGGGCAAATTTGGAGTCTGGGGTAGCCTCTGGAAAGAGTGGAATTGGCTAGACCTGGGGAAAGGAGCGGTCAGCAGCAGTGAGCACCCGTGGAAAAGAGGAGAGCTGGCTAGAGCCTGTCCTCTGGGAGAGGTGATTTTCTTTCTTTCTGTGGCGTCCGAACTAAGAACAGAGAGTGTGGGTGGTGGACTGGATTGAGACTTGGCAAAGCTGGAAGGCGTGGAGGGAGCACCTGAGGGCTCTTGATGAGCAGTTGGCTGTTGGCAGGCCGTGAGCGGGGAGCAGGTAGCTGAGTGCTCCAATGCATGTCCACGTGGGGTGCAGTCTGCGGGAGGTGCAGGCAGATCCCGCCTTCCCTGCGGCTCCCTCCCGTACCTGGATCCCCATCTGGTGGGACGCCTGGACCCCTGCCTGTCTCCCCAGACAGCCTGTGCTTCTGATTCTCCCTGATGATGGCAACAGATGCTCCTTTTCTTCCAGCCCACAAATAAGACTTTGTAGCATAAGGGAGACAGAGCTCTTATTTTGTTGTACTCTGTGGTCTTTATCCTTCTTCTGAGTTAGCTTTTCATTTATATATTTTCACTTTCACATGTCACTAAGTTTAAATGTTTAAACATTTCCCCCTTCAGTAGCCAAAAAGAAAACAAAGCAACAGCTAATGTAGTAATAAATTTATTTCTAGCTACAGGAGATAAGCTCCAATGCAATATGGCCATAAAGTATGGCTCCTAGGCTTAAGGGAGAAGCAATAAACTTTCATAAATAAAGGAATTTTAAAATACTCCTGGCAGTATAAATAAAGGTCAAATGCAACGTGTAGCTGGCAGCACACAGCCAACGACAGATCTGCTTACAAAAGGAAACTGTAAACTAAAATAAGAAAATGTTTGCAGCTTTTCTGTGGTTGTTACCTTGCACCCGAGGTGGGCTGACTAAAGAATTCACTGTGTGAAGATTTTGACTCACCTTCTGAATTGTGACCTCTGTCACATCTCCTGACGCTTTTCGATTTTGCCGAAGACCTGTGATCATCACCCAGCAAACCCAGGGGTCCTGACGCCACAGATAAGTTCTCAACACATCGCATGGTGTTAGAGAAGACCCCGGAGCAGGGAAGGCCGGGCGCGCAGGACCGTGGCCCTCAGGCTGGTCATGAGGGAGCTTGCACAGCTCAGGGGTTCGCTTGCCTTGCAGCCTCACTTTGCAGCTGATCTGTAAGGAAATTGGAAGTCCTCCTTAGGTGTCTCTCAGGTTTCATTTGCCTTTTCAGATCAGGAGTGACATGGGCAAAAGCTTAAAAAACCACGCACAGTGGCAGATGGATGGATGGCTGAGTCGGTAGATCGGCAGACAGACAAATAGATTCACAAATACTCACACCTGCATTCTAGTGGGCAGTGCCTTGGTTTGAAAGATGGTTAAAGTAATAGGGATTATTCTCTAGAAAATTAAAGAGCATGAAAGAGAAGTCTGACCTCTCTCTCTGTCAGTCTCTCTCTCTCTCAAATCAGAAGTGGTAACAGAGGGGAAATGGACTGCTGCCTGTAGGGTGAAATCAGAATTTATCAGTGCTCACATTCCATAAACAGGACTTTTCCTGAGCACCTGTAGTTGTAGGAGCTGTGTTTGTGGCTGGGACCAAGATTAGACCTGGTCTGTTCCCTCAAGGATCTGAAGGTCTTGGTAGCATAGAGGGACTTAAACTTGGTAGCATGGAGCGCATCTGGGAGGGTTTGAGAAGGTAAGCTTGGTTTAAGAGGTAGTGGGGTATCCTCAGGAGGAAAGAGCAGTGCAGAGAGGGGATGAAGGAGTCGAGATTGTGAAGAGAAAAGCCAACGAAAGGTAGTTGGGCTTAGGGTTTGGACTTCATCATGTAAGTAGTAGCAAGCCAGTGAAAAATTTGAGAGCAGAAATAGGCGTGATTCGTGAGCCATGATTTCAAGCTTGTTTTGTGAAGAGAAGTCTCTGTTGGCGGTAGAAGCAAGATGAGAGACAGATGATGAGGGCTCAGGGGAGATGACGGAGGCAATGGTCTGGGGATTCCATTTATAATTTGCTATGCCTGGTACTGTTGGTTTTGTTTTTGCTGGATAATGTAGAGAAAGGCAAGCTAGCACAGAAATTTAACTCTCAGTTGGGATTCACCATTTAGTAGCCATGTGTTTGGGGGCAAGGAACTTTAAAGTCTCATGCTTATCATCTGCAGAATGGGGCAATAGTTATACCTCCTGCATAGGGCTGTGACAAGTGTTAACTGAAGTATTGTATCTATGTGTGTGCTCTTGGAATCATGACTGGTGTGTGGTACATGCTAAATTTTATTTTCATTTTTTTATCAGTGCATTAATTTGCTTGGTTGTTCACTTCTTTGGGAGTTTGCTTTTAAGACAATCCAGAGTAATCAACTATGGATAGTCATTGGTAAATTTTGCTTGCAGAATTTTACTGACTTTTTCTTTTTTTGCCTCATTTTCTTAAATTCTCTTGGGTCAAAAATTTCCAGCAGGAAATAGGAGGGTGAAGTCTGTAAATTAAAACAGCTCTTTCCCCTCTGATGTGAAGTGTGAACAGAGAATTTTGCAAAGAATGCTGCTATTTGGTGGTCCTTCATGTCGCCGTGTGTAACAGGGAAGTATTAAACAAAGTCCCAGTGCTGGGGGGATTGGGCAGCCTTACTTTACAGGACAGCACGGTTCTCTCATTTTCATAAACAGATTCTGAAATTCCAGAACAGAGTGTGAACCACATTTGAAATACCAATGCAAAACCCCCTTCAAAAATCCCCAATATAAAATTTTAATAACCTCTGCCCTTGCTTCCGTCTTTGTGAAGATAACTCAGATAACTCTACCACAGTCTTAAATTGGAACAATAATTATATCTCCCATGAATATAAGAAAAATTATTCTATAAGTATTGTTTTTACTATAGGTATATTTTATTCTATAAATATGGATTTGTTAAATTTATCATATAAATAACTACAGACTTAGTTACTGTAGCATTCAGAACAAAACTCTAATAGGAGAGCAATTGTTTCTTACACTTCCTTGTGCAGAGCCTGGGCTTGGGACTTCTCTGGTGATCCAGTGGTTAAGACTCCACGCTTCCAATGCAGGAGACATGGGTTTGAACCCTAACCAGGGAATTAAGATCCACATGCAACAGGGTGATAAACAAATAAATAAATAATTTTTAAATAATAATAATAATCGTACTTAGGGCTCTATTGAAATAAACTGTCCCTATTAGGTTATAGGAAGAGTACAGGATTTGGAAAGAAATACCAAATGTCTTAAAACTTTTTCCCTTTGAAGAGCTGGGACAGCAGTAATTCTTAACGGAGGGAGATGGATACAAACCCTCTGTACAGTTGAGGTGAACAAAGCCTTCCTTGACACTAAAGTTTTTATTTTGCCTGAAAGTGAACTCTTCACTGATGGAATGGGTTCTTTTATTGGATCTGTCAAGATTACTAGGGCCACACGTCACCCTCCCCAACTGAAATACAGCATCATGAAATCATGATTGAAATTACAGATGCCAATTCATGAAGTGGCAAGAGATTATAGATACTGCCCTTCCTCTTCTGGGTTACTGGGAATTAATTTCAATCACATTGAATACTTCTGAAAGAAAACCCAGTAATTATTTAAATTATATTCTCCAGCTTTTCCACTTGATTGATTTGTTGTTGTTCAGTCACTCAGTTGTGTCTGACTCTTTGTGACCCCCATGGACTGCAGCTCTCCAGGCCTCCCTGTCTGTCACCAACTCCCGGAGCTTGCTCAAACTCATGTCCATCAAGTCAGTGATGCCATCCAGCCATCTCATCTGCTATTGTCCCCTTCTCCTCCTGCCCTCAATCTTTCCCAGCATCAGGGTCTTTTCTAATGAGTTGGCTCTTCTCATCAGGTGGCCAAAGTATTGGCGTTTCAACTTCAGCATCATTCTTTGATTCATAGCCAAACACTTTTGACTAGTTCAGTGTTGTTGTGCTTTAAGAAGATAATGTACTGAAAATATTTTAACAAGATTTTGACTGTGTGGTTGGAATAATGAACAAAGATGGCACAGGAATGGATGACGTGTAATCTGATCCCAACCCTGGGAGGAACAGGGTATGACTTTAAAGAAGTCACTTACTTTTTCTGATAATGTTTGTCCAATATTCTCTGATGGGGCTTTTGTGAGAATCTAATGAATGGAGGTATGTAAAAGCAATTTGAAACATAAAAAGCACTAAAAATAACTAAGTGTAGTTGCTGAACAACTTTAAGACATCTTGACAGAGCAAATGGGAATAAGTGTTGAGGGCGTTTCTTGTTTAATTTTACAGGGAACACGGGAAACTCTCAGCCGTCACTGCACTACCCTGGGTGATGCCCTTCGGAAGGAGAATGACTTTGCTCTTATAATTGATGGGAAAACCCTCAAATATGCCTTAACTTTTGGAGTGAGGCAGTATTTCCTGGACTTAGCTTTATCATGCAAAGCTGTAATTTGCTGCAGGTAAGTTCTCTGGGATTTGTCAGATTTCAGTAAAGAGCAACTAGATCCTGAGCTCTTGATTTTTAATGTTCCTTGGAGATATATTATCTTGAACTTGTCAATGTCAGTTATTTGTTAATTCATTCATTCAAGACTCAGGGTTCACAAACTGGGATAGCTTTGGGAACATTGTGACCAAGCCAATGGACAGGTCTACTCGCGGGATGCTCTGGCAGGAGTCCCTCATCGAGCAGAAACGGTGAGGCTCATTCATTGACTTGGAGCTGGGAGAGAATGGATTTAGCTGAGATGCTGTTTTGAAAGTGAGTCCTGATTGGAAGCCCATCATTAATGATAATTGTTCATAATTTGAATTAGCAGGTTTCTTGCCATTCTATGTCTAAGACTACTTATCTGCATTTCTGTCTGGGGTTGTCTCTCTGAAGGTTCTATTTTCTACACTTATATCTTGGATTCTGTGAGTTGGACTTATTTGTGGGGAAATCATGGTGGGAGGCACTGACTGGATCATTTTCCGAATAGCCAAGCATTTTTCTGAAGGCTGTCTATTGACCGTACAGTCTTCTGCCCTCTAATTTGTAATACTGCGCACATCCTCAGCTGGAGTCTGTTTTGAGTTATCAAGGCCTGCTCCGTAGAATTGTACTTCTGTGAGCTGTTTAGCGCCCGTGCTTCCTGGATTTCTCGTCAAAGAGTCTTTCCCACGTCTTTGTAAGACGTAAAGTGAATTTATGCCTGCGCCCAGCCTCTTCCCTTCTGCCTACCGTGAAATGCAAGGATTTTCCTCTTTGTGACCCACTTGCTGAATCTAACCAGCTGGTCAGACTAGGTCTGGGGTAGCAGTTTCTCAAATTGCTTTCTTTTAATGGAAGGTGAAATGTTAGCAAGAATTTCTCAGAATCTGTGCTTTTAACATTATCTTGAAAACTGTACGATTGGCCTTTATTTTTCTTTTCAAATATATTTATTAATAAAAGAATCTTCTGCTTTTAAACTTTTCTTTTTGGTCCAGGCTTTAACTTGTTTATTTATTTAAATATCCTATATATGATATTGTCACCAAACTTACAAGCCATGCCTTATAGATATTTCCTAAATTTCAGTGGGTTTTTTTGTGTGTGAAATATAGTTTAACTCATACTTAATAAGTTTTCCTGATACATATCATTTCAGCCTATAAAGTTAAACTCAGAGCATTAAGAGCTGCTTATTATTCCTATTGCTGTGTTTGGTTGCTCAGTCATGTCCAACTCTGCGACCCCATGGCCCTCCAGGCTTCTCTGTCCATGGAATTCTCCAGTCAAGAATACTGGAGTAAGTTGCCATTTCCTCCGCCAGGGGATCTTCCCAGCCAAGGGATCAAACCCGAGTCTCCCTAGTCTCCTGCATTGACAGGCGGATTCTTTACCATTGAGCCACCTGGGAAGCCCTTATTATTCCTAGGAATCTAATTATATCAGTCATTTAATTTTTTTTGTCTATGGCATATATTAATAAATACTATTTATTACTCTAAAGCTTTTAGGCAATACTGTATTAGGTATTTAATATTGGTAATAATCAGATTCAGCTTAACCGTGAAGAAGAAATATAGAAATTATTTTATCTTGCCTGTCTCATTTTAAATGCATGAGGATACTCATGATTTCTTAAATCTGCTTTTCCAGTGACTTTTCTTGGTTCCATCTCTTGACCAAGTCTCAGTAATGTTCAACTCTGACACTCTCCCATCAGGATAATTTTGTTCCAGACTTGCTTGTTTAATCACTTTCATAAACAGGATCACAAGGATCAACAAAAGATTGCTCAAAAACACATTAAGTGATGTGGCTGTTGGCTCCTGTTCAGAAACAGAACCCAGCGCTGTTTAGATAAGAGGACCAGCTCCCTTGAGCCGGCATTCATTCTGTGCCTACTGTGTGCCGTGCAGGGATGCTACACATACAAGGGTGAATCAGACGTCTTGCCTGCTCTCCTTCATGCTGGTGTCTGCCTTTTGTTTTAAACAGACTCACAATCGGCTTGAAAGATGTGGGAGGCCAGTTTCATCGCAGCTGAGCCTCATTCCTAGAGTATTGCTTAACTCGGCACCTCCCACCATTCTTCAAAAAGTCGAACCACAAAATTAAACAATAGCAGAGGGAGAGAAAAACTAGAAAGTAGAATCAAGCGAGAAAAAAAAAAAAAATATATGTTCTGTGCTTGTGAAATTCCCTCCTGAACTCCTTGTTCTGAAAGCTCACAAGTCGCAGGGACTTGTCCCAGGGTCCCAGGCCCCTAGGAGGGATTCGCACTCTGCACTGAACCCTGAGCTTATAAAGATATGTGTGGCCCCTTCCTCCCTCCGTCCTTTTATGCATGTTGGAGGACTGAGGGTCCCTATGCAGACACTAAGAGTTTCACTTAGAGTTTTAGGGGACTTTTAAAAGTAAAATAGCTTTCCTCTGCTGTTTTCTTCTCGTTACCATCATATTCTGTCTTTTCCCATAAGGACTGCGGTTCAGCTTCCCGTCTGGCTTTGGGAATTCGTCTAAGCCCATAATTATCAATACATCGGTGCCACTGCCTGATTTATGTCTGTGCACCTTCCTGGCCCGGTGCCTCTTGGCATTTAAACTATGGGCACAGACCATCTTCTTATTTAGCCTACTGACCTTGAAGCATCATTTCCATGACTATTCCTCGCTGTGAGTAGTAGGTGGGCAGTTCTGTAGATCCTTCTTTACAATTGAATGCATGCATTCTGGCTCCTGGTTTCTCAGATGATTGTAATCTCCTTGCCTCAGGAAATTCTCTATTTCACTCCATTATAAGAAACCCTCCACATAAATACCGAATATTATTTCAAAATACAGTGGGCCACTGTTTCCCAAATTCGTTTATGTTCATGATGGCTTTCTGGGTTTTCCCCTTAAACTACTTTACAATTTATTTCTTGTCAGTCCACAAGTGAAGATAATTCAGAATCTGCTCTTCCTCTGCCACCTTCTCTTTGCTAGAGTGGAAGAGGGGGAAAGCCTCCCTTAATGGATAATGAGGCTCTGGCCATTAGTTCCATCCTCAGGATTACATCAGCCACTTTCTTCCCTGACATTATCAGCATGAAGGGCAGGAGGCAGTTTTTAGTGTTTGCCTAATTGACACAGTTACAAAGATGAGCGTTTTCCCTGAAGAGTCTACAGCTGAATTGAAAGAAACAGTTGCTCTCTGTCAGCTGTCATTACATCTCTTACTCACCATCATTTTCTAAAGGGAATACTCAGAGACAGGACTAATCCCCTGGCCCCCAAATTATTCAGGGCTTTGGAGTCCGGGTTTTGGTTTACAGAGTGAAGTTGCATGTCCTACATCATATACTTTTTTCAATTATGGAAAACCCAAGAAGTACAATAAAATCTGTTTTTATCAGTCTACCAAGTACTGTATTTTCATAGATGCCACATGCAGTTTTTGCTTTTACTTCTGTGCAAATTTACCCGCATAACCTGAGTAGTTCAATAGGAAATGTGCATCTTATGCTAAGGTAAGTTTTCCTGGTTATAAACTACTCCTCTTGTGGTCCTTCTCTTCTGTTCCCTTCTTGAAGTACACTATTGTTGTTTTTTTTTTTTTTTCCATTCAGTGTGATCACAGATACTTTTGAAGAACAAATGAAAGGTCTGTACCAATTTTGCACAAACATGTAAAATTGAATTTGACATGTTAGAGATTTCACAGGCTCCCTGGAACTCCTTGGACAGGTAGAGGGGAAAAGCCTGCTCTAAGACTCATGGAGATGTGTGTACACAGCTAAAAGCAAGAGCTAGTCTGCAAACTAACTGTACCAGGTAATCATTTCTCATCTTAGTGACCAGTATTTTATGCCCTCAGGTCTTGCAGCTTGTATAGTTGGGGATTCATAAAATACTTGTTCCCACTTTACCTCTCTGGCACTGTGGATACCTGACGGAACCTCTCTCTGGTTTTGTAACTTGTGAAATGGACAGCTTGCCATATAGCAGTGAAGCCTTCCAGCCTCGATGTCTGCAGCAGTTACGGTTGGAGCTTCCCTGGCATAGAAAGGTGTGAAACCCCTGCACACCGCGCCCTTCCTGGATCAGCTCCCTCCAATGTGAAAGCCATGGAGCCAGGTGGCTTCTTGCCCTGTCAGACTTTGGATGAACCCTGCCTCTGTTGGCCACTTCTATGCTAGGAAGAATCTGTCTCCTGCCTGGATCTGCTTAATTCGGGGAAGCATCTGGTCAACCTCTTTTAATATCCCCTCCAGAAAAGAGTAGGAACGTTGCAGTGAAGTTATTGCTCTGTGTTAAATGGCATGTGGTTTCTGAGATCCTCGTCAGTTCACATAAGGCAGTCTTTCAAAGAATCTTGCATTTTTTCTGTAGTTGTCAGTTTAGTTTAAACATATTTTGAAACTTATGTTCTGTGACAGTTGGTTGAAAATTGGCCTAGAGCCTCCAAGCTTTTAGACTGTCTAGTAATCATCATTCTCCTACATAATTTATGTACTCATGTCCTCTGAGAAGCAGAAGTTAAATTGAAGTAAGCATTTTTCCCTACTTGCAACATCTCTAATCAAAGTTTAACCCCCTTTTAGGCCATTTTCCCCACAGTGCATAAAAAAACACTTGACTTCAGTGAGTGTCGTCACTCGGGAGTGGCATTCCAGGCAAAACCTTTCACCTTAGTCTGATCGAGGGGCCCTCCAAGAAGAGGTCCAAAAGGCCACCTTGAATACTTTTTGTCATGGCTTGAGTATGTTAAGTAAAGGGTCAAGACAGATCTGCTTCTCGAATCTTTGAGGATTGTCTTAAACTTTAAGGATTTCTCTAAATAAATGTTCTACTTAAAGGGTAGCCACAAAGCACAAATGAAGCTACTAAATGCTCAACAGACAGTCCTTTAAAGAAAGAAGTTTGTGAACACATCGAATGCCAAGCAGATGTCTGGCTTTGAGAAGACTTACAAATTCTTAATGAATGTCAACCCTATATTTGCTT